ATTTAGCAACACATTTCACTGCAACCAACCTTTTAAAGATCTTCTGGATCTTAATGTGGCCAAAAAAGAAAATTATTTGAACACCAACATTTCTGCACGAAAAATAATTGTTTTGATAAAACATGAAACAAATGAAAATTGTTCATATCACTGTGGTTTCAAGCCACAGTGATTGAGGAAACATTTATAATACAGCACTATAGTATGTAATGGATCTATATAATGTGAGTCTGACTTTGTGAATTGAGTGAACATCAATTATATTTTAAGATATTGAGAGATACACTTACCCACTCTTCTCAGTATTGTTTCCTGTTATAACACAAAATGATTTTCTTTGCTCACAGCAACAAGCAACTTTCTATGTTTCTTCTATTTTTTTTCTTTTCTTTCTCTTTTCATGTAATTTATATAATATTTTGAACGCAATTCAAGCTGAACTGAATTTTAAACTGTCTTTCATTTCAGTTGGAGTGAAAGTAAATCCCAAAGGCAGAGGGGAGTCAGACATACAGAAGAATAAGATCCGTGGTATGCAGAACGGACTACAAACAGCACATTAATATTAATTGAAGAGTTTTTGCTTCATTGCTGATTGTTTTTTCCACTTTTGTTGTTGAATTAATTACATTATTTCTCAGTAAGCATGAGTGTTTCAAAAAAGAATTTTCCATGGAGGAAAAGATGCTGACACTGTAGCCATGAACGTTACTTATATGGGTCACAGATCAGTAGAAGCCGTCTTTACCGAACAGCTCTTCAAAGAGTGTAAGAGTTAAATACATCCGCTCAAATATGATGAAACACATTTTAAATTAAATAAATTATTTCAGAGTCAAATCTGTAGTTTGAAGGAGACAGTAAGAAGAGAAAAACACCACAGGAAAAGATTGAGATTGAGATTCTTGCAAGGAATACAGCAACATCTTTGTTTGGCGTGAGTCATGTCTGAGGCACAGACTGACCCCTCAGTCGTGATGGAAGAAGAGGCTCAAGATATTGTGTTAGGACATTTTAGCAGCTGTCAAAGATTGCTTCCCCTGTTTTGGTAAGCTGCTGTTATTTATCCATGTATTTCTTTCCAAGTTCCAGCAGATGTCTTCTCTCCAAACTCTGAGTGGAGCGGTTTCTACGAGTATTTAGGGAAGAGGCAGACCACCACCTTTGCAGTTACTGGGTTCAACGCTACCAGCAGCCGAGTGAACGTCACATTACTGGAGACCAGCGGCGTGTCGATCAGACTGTCAGGTAAAAGACTATCATTTTGGGTTTTCAGATGATGTTATTTAAGTCTGTGCTTTTAATTTCACTCTTATAATACTTGGTAGGAGGATAGAAACTGTAAAAGACTAATTAGCATTAGCTAGATCGCTATGCTTAGAGTTATAGAACCCTGCAAGTGTTATATCTCATAATATATAAATGAAAATAACGTTACCTTAATTCCAAAAGTACCAAGGAAAATATTCAAAGATAGTCAGTGTGTGGAAAAATTATTTTTATGCAGTGATACCTATTTTATTATCGGTGAGTTAAAATGAGTTAGGCCCCAGAAGCTGAACATGTAAGGACATGTTCAATCTAGTACAATCAACATGTGAGCATTTCCCTGAAGGTGAAGAAAAGTAAGTAAATAAAAATCCTTTATCCTTTAAAAATACTTTATGTTCTTAAACTTTTACAACCTCCTTTATTGTACCAAACATTTACATCTTCACTGGTATTTAGTAATTTATTTGACAATGTGTGAGTAAAAAAAACAAAACAATTGAAAGTATATATTTTTAAAGGTATACAAAGAAACTAAAGTTCAAACACAGAAAAAACAAAAGCAAAGATGAAACTAAACCTCTAACTTAATAATTTTAGGTGCATTGGAATCAAATTTTGATGATTGCAAATGACAATGTAGATGATAAGTAATAACCCAGGAGCTAAAGCTGTTGAAATAAGGTGTATCCCTAAAAAGACTTTTTTTGTTGTTGTTTGTTTTAAAAAAATGTTGTAACCTTCTATGTTGGAAAGTTAAAACAAAGCCCGGCTTTGATGTGACTGTATTTTGGCTTTGAAAGAGTCTTTTCTATGGTTTTCTTTAGTTTTAGTTTTACTCATTTCCTGTTCTGCACTTGAACATTTTCAGATTTTGTAACTATAAATCCTTCAAACTAACTTCATGGGATTAACCAATGTTTTGTCAACATGTAACAAAGAACTTCTTTAAATTTAGAGAAACTGTTTTAGTTGCATCCTCCCACAAAGAGGCTGAAAAGATTTAAATTTTCAGTCGGAAATGGGCAAAGAAAAAAAAAAGCAGATGTGGGCCGCATTTACCTGCTGTGTGAAGGTAGCCTATGTGATGCTATTGATGGTTTTAGCCCTGACAACTCTTTTTTTTTTTTAAAGATTACAAGACAGTCTGAAAGGAAAGCACAAAGAAATCAATGGCTGTTTTATACTTTTTCACAGTGTAGAGTGTCAATGTAGGCCAACAAAGACATGAAAAGTAGCAAGGCAGAATAAATAGGTCAAAAGCAAACAAACTGTAGGAATCTGTTCGATTAATAAATCCCAACCCTTTTCACATTACTATCCAACCTTGGAACAACAAAATTAGCTAAAATTTCACTTATGATGAATGTTAGTACATAAACAGTGTCCTTGGGTTTGAGACTTTTCGCTGAAATGACATGAAAGAGGTTCTAATTCAGTTTGTAGCCAACGAGAACTCGCCGTCTGATAAAATAAATAAATGCATAATGTAACAAGCCCATAAAAGAAATCAAAAGAGAAAATTATCTATTGGGTGTTTATTTGCAAGTCTTTTCTTAGAACTTGCTTGCGTGTCTGCTGTCATATTGACAATCAGCTGCTTTTGTGTTTGCACTGTATTTACACAGAGACATGTTGCTAAAGGCTAAATGTCATGTTTTCCTCCCATATTGTGTTATATGGTTTTTGAAGGAAAGAGAGGATGATCATTTGAAATGTCAAGGTGGCTCCTTTTCTCTGCCTGTCACAAACAAATCTGTTTGCTTACCACCTGCCTGCCTAGCCGTGTTTGTCTCTTCTGGCAAAGTCCTCGACTTTGACAAGTTCCAACACAAATCAGAGGATAATGTGCCATTGATTAATGCAAGATTTAAACACCAGTCAAACTGTTTGCATATGCAGTCTGAATCTCTGCCTCCGTCTTTCTAGGTACTTACAAGTCAGAGGAGAACCAGCTGCTGTTGAAGGTGTACCAAGTGAAGGGGCCGACAGAGTATTACTACAGCAAGTTTAAAAACGACAACTGGGCTATGGATGGATATGTAAGCAAAAGCTTCTTTAATTAAAGGCACCCGCAGGGCTTTAATCAAATATGGCGAAATGACATGTTATGTTTTAAAAGTAAGCACTTGTTTCAAAAAACGAGACCCCTTTGGTAAAGATGGATCCAAATTTTCAGCTTTCAGTTTGTTGCAGGGATTTCGAGATACAGAGAGTGGTTAAAGCAATATGTCATCCATATTGCTGTTCTGTTTGTTGTGACTTTTTGCTTAATAACTCTTACCAAAGCTAATGTTGGACTGCATATCTGGGTGTAAGTGTTTGAGTCTGCCTATTCTGCTTGATGTTGATGCTCCTAATTGCCCCATACTTTGCATTTCCATCACAGGAAGACTTTGCAGGAACAAGGTTGCTGTCTGAGGGCGTTCTTTGACCCCCGTTATTTACACTCCAGGGACCTGGACCAAATAAGAATACCTTGAAAATGGCTCCATTAAGGAGCCATTACTTACTCACCTAGACAGTACTACACTGTAGTATGAATGAAGTTTTCTGATGGGATGTTGCTTCCTCTCTGGAGGAGTATTCACAGTATTTTGATTTGCTCATCTCTTACTTTAAACTCCACTACGACTCACATTTGCTGTAACTCGTAAATTTCACAGCTGAAGTTTTTCGAGTATTTGTTTACAAACAACACCGAAACCCAGTTGCGTATGTCTATTGTTGTGCATTGCAGTAATAAAATCTGCTTACCTTTGTGGGAAATAATGAAATAAAATATGGACTTCTTCTTTTAGCTGTTTTTGGAAGACAGGGAAAACTCGCATCAAAGCATTTTATTGAGGGATTTCTCTGAACATATTAAAACAATCTAATCCCTCAGGATTGTTCAGCATTAACAAATTATTAGTTTAAAACAAACAAGGCACACGTTAGGATGCTGTTTGGCACGTCACTGTGGAAACGCATCCAGCAGACATCATTAAAACATTGTGGATAGTGGAAACATGCCTATGGATTATCAATCCTTCACTCCCTACTCTGTCAAACAATATTGCACAAGAATGTCTTTTCCCAGAGAATCCTTGACCTGAGGAGATGCTGCTCTGCATTTCATTCAGTTGCTGTTCACTTTCTTCCTTTAATAACCTCTCACGCCTTCTCTCCTCGCACTGCAGTGTGTGGTGTGTCTGGATGGTTTGTTCTTAAGGTGAACCTGAACCTAGATGAAGGTATTTTTAGATGCGATATCTGTCGGCATGAGTGATTCTGATTCAGCTTCTCTTACCAGTTAGAAAACGATAACAACATATTGGGTTCTGCTCATGTTCTTGTTCACCTCTTTGCGACTGTGACGTGACCTTAAACGCTCCTGCTATCAGCTGTGATTACTGTGAGCTAGCCAACGTCAAAGTGGGAAAGCGAATCAGTCCAGCATGACTACAGAACCCAACACATGAACCTTAAGGCAATCAGTGTGTTCTAGTTAGGTGATCCTGTGAAGAAAGCGAATTAAATACATTCCAGTTCAATTCAGATCTCCTAGATTGAGATTAATTTCTCCCTGTGTGTTCGGACACATTACCTGGCTCCGTCTCAGAACTGTTCACTACCGTATTACCCATAGTGCCATTTTGGAAAGAAGGTAAAGCTTATCTGGTAATAAAATTGTACCATGAATTGATTGTTTTTCATTTAAATTTACTTCATAGGACACCCACCTACCCATGACAGACTTTAAAAAGGGCTGTGGCTTCAAAATATCTTTAGCTCTCTAAAAACGTCTTTAGAGCTCCTGACAGACAAACGCAACAAGTATTTTCAACCAATTCTGATAATCGTATTAGTTTGATGATACATAAATGGCTTTTACTTGATAGTGTAAGTCTTGGACAACCTCACGACTCTAACGCTATCCTCTGTTTTTTTAAACATGGCAGCTTTAAGGGGCTTCTGCATGGTTATGCCTAACCAAGGAGTGATAGCAAGGTCTTACGTAATCCCATTAAACAATCTGTGGTGCCGTTTACGCATTTCGATCACATATCATTTACGAGTTTGTTTGTACATGATCACAGCGCTTCGTTCTACGGCTTTCAACCGACTTTGTGTTTATTCAATGCATCCATAAGATGGAACTTAACGAGGGAAAAATGGATTAACTTTGGTGCTAGCAATTAGATGCCTGTTTTTAAATAACTGTGTGGCACCTAAAGTTAAGGGCTTTGATCAGCTCATCGTACCATGCACAGTCTTTTTTTAGTTTGCTTGAGTGTTGCAGCTCTAAAAATTAAATTAGGAGCTACGCATGATAGGTTACTAAAAAAATTAAAAATAAGTAAAAAATCCACCATCGGAACAAAAAAGCGTGCGCTTTCATTTTATTCAGACAATGCATTACATTTCTTGATGTAATGTAACTACTGAGTAATGTTGCAGCTCTTTGTAATGACAAAAATGGGGGCGATTCTGAATTCTCACTTTACTGGTTGCTGTAGAGTGAGCAATTGCCTTTCTGTCATAGAGGCCCCAGTTAATGGCTGGATGTACCTTTTTTTTGTCACCATGAGTGGCCCAGGCATGCAGCTGAGACTTCCAGGAACTTAATCTTCTCACCAAGCAATTGTTGCAGCATGTAACGCTCTGCAGGGCTCAGGCGTGGGACTCAGTTCTTATTGAGCTATTGTGACATTTAACTTTTGTGCCTTCATAAATTTCCTGTGGCGTGGATAGATTATATTTTCTGTATTTACACTTTGGATGTTATCAGTCATTTAAATTAACTTTCTATTTAGGGGATGCAAAGGAGAGAAAGTCAGGCAGTCGGTTAAATTTTTTGGGGGGTGATATTTGAAGCTGAGTAAAAATCCTGGATGCTTCAGAGAGAGCAGGAGTGTTTAAGAGAATAGCTAAGTGACATTGAAAGCATTTTATGGATAACAACACTTTTTAATGTGTTCGTTTTCAGTTTTTATTTAAAACAATGGAAAGACAGGACTCATAAGCAGTTTTTGTTATTAAGTTCAAGCAAAAAAAAAAAAAAATGAGCAGCTCAATCTGTAATTCATAATTTATAACATACAAAAAAATAGGTTTCTTCTTTTAGGTCACTTGGGATTAACAACATTTAAATTTGCTACACACTAGAATGAGGGTTAGGGTTGGCCAGAATTTCACATGCATCCTTTGCATTTGGTAAATTTGCTTTTTTGTGACCGAGATTAAACATTCTGGGTTTTTTTCAACAGGCCTCTGACAATAACTGTTGGATTTTCCCTGATTATCTGGCTTACGGAGTAAAACCTTCTTCCTAACTCAGTATCCTTACTATGTCATTATCCGCCCTCATAGGTGCAGCCCTTGTTCCGCTGCAAATAATGACACTTTCCCCTCCAGCTCCGCCAGCATCTTAGAAGATCCTTTGCTTTTGTTCACTGCACACCGCAACGGGATCATCTGGGGAGCACAGAATCCGTCTCTCTCCAGAACAGTATAATGGCTGGACAGACCCATATTGTTTGTGATTCTTTCAACAGATCAACATGGCACCTTCAGGCATCTGGAAATTGTAACTAAGAATAGGTCATAATTTCCCTACATGAAATCTGTCTGATGTTTTTACATGTTTTGATCATGTCACAGAAGAAGGCAGTATGCTTGATTTGTGCCATAGAATGCATCCAAAGCTCAAATATTGTGAATTAATTTATCAGAAGTTTACATCCTCATTACTCAACCTAAAGGTGAAGCATTGTTAGCTTATGTAAATTTCTGAATTTGAAGAAAGCCATAAGAATTTGCCTCATTGCATCTCAAAAGCAAGTCATTTGGTTGGTTATCCTAAATGACCTATAATAGGAAAAGTTTAGTTAGTTTAGAATAAGATGCACAGTGAAAATATGTATATTTGTTCTTTAGTGTGTTTTAATTTCTGCTTCAATTGTAACTGAAGTAAAATTGAAAAACAAAAAAAAAAAAAAACACAAATATTTCATGCAAATTTGGTCTATAGACTTCATTATTACACTGATGGATTTTAATACTTTTTTGTACAAATATTTTCAAATTAATTTAAACAATATCTAACCTACATGTTTCTTTAAAACAAATCCCTCAATGTGCATTCCTGTAAAACTGAAAACACGTGGAGTTTTGTCAAGTTAGAAAAAAGAAACATTAAATTATTCTAATCTAAAAACAAAATAAGCTCGTACTTTTTTTTTTCTTTTTCTAAAAGCTGAACCCTCTCTTGTGTTTCAGGTCACTGCGGAGTCCGACCAGAAGACTTTCGTTTACCAGGGACATATTCACAGTAAAGACTTTGGCAAGTTTTCTCTGACGAGACAAGGTGGGTCCGCTCGGCGGCACCGACACGCTGCTTTCATAACGTCGTGCAACCAACATTACAACCAAATTATGCATTTCGAATGTGTCGCTTGGGATTACTTTATTTCAGAACAAATCTTCCAGTGATACGCTGAATAGAAATGTGAAGCAAACTGGATCAAGTGTTTGAGTTCAAGAGTTTGTGTGCACATGTTTGGCTTATCTCTTCGTGACTCCAGGTCCTGTAACCACGGCGATGAATCCGTCAAACCCATACACGAACAGCAGCTCTGTGGCAGCAGCCATTTTAGTTCCCTTCTTTGCCCTCATCCTCTCTGGGTTTGCCTTCTACCTCTACAAGCACAGGTAAGCTATAGTCTCAATGTCAATCCTTCAGAAACAGCAGCAGAGCAGAATACAAAACAGCTGTTTGTCCTCTGTTTCTGTAAACACTCTACCAGAAGGTGCTGGATGTGAAACCTGAGCCTGTTTCTATCAAAATGTCTTAGTTTTAGTTTGTAATTCATTCTTGGGATCAGTCTTAATTTTATGCACAGCTACACTTTGCTTTTCTTTTCTATCTACACATTCATTTTGGGTCTTTATTTTTTATATATAGTTCAGAACATTTAAAACGCAAAGACTGAATATAGTAAAAATTTAAAAGAACCAAATGTTATTGTGTTTCCTTTTAAGGTCTCCTGCAAAGTTCGAGAGCAGGAAGGCTTTTAGAGCGGCGTATAAAGTTTTTTTTTTTTTTTTCAGAAGAAGCATTCAATCTAAAAGAAGATAATTGATTACTAACCAGTCTATACATGTACAGGAATGTTTAAGCTATTCTTTGTTTAGGTAGAAACTATACCATTATTTACATAACCATCAACAATACAGAGGTGCAATTGTCACAAATTAAAACATAATCAAACATTTAATCTATTTTAGCTATTCAATTCCAGAAGTGAAACTTAGATTAATTCTTTTTAGTGAAGTTTTGGTAATTGCAGAAAGTAACTTTAATACAAAACCTACAGCCTAGTGAGAAATCAGTTCATAAAATCTGAACAGGAAGTCTCCCTGTACCATCCTTTTCAAAAACAACTCTAGGAGAGAAACTCGGGGCAGTGTTCCTGCTGTTGCCAAATGCATCAGATTTAAATGATCTATCTCACCTTCCAACCGTTGTTGTCTGAATTGATTGCTGAGTCTTGTTCATGCCTTTAGATCCCTGCGGCCGGCCGGCCGGTCGCACAATCCAAATGTCACCCCGACGTCGTTCTCTCAACCTGGCAAGATCACATACGCTTATGTACATCAGCCGAAGCAGTAATGAGACGGGCTGACTTTAACCCCCCCTTGCCACACCTGTCCTTTTACAAAACACATGTAGACAGTTAAATGGGCCTTTAATCCTGCCACGAGGTGTTTTGTGAAAGGCTCTTTTGACTCCAACTGCTGTTGACAGATCGTTAATCTCTCCCAAAGTCTTTAATGAGCGCCGCCTCATTGTTCTCCCACGGCTGCAGTTATACCTGTTCTTAAGCATCTTTATCAAATACAATTTCCTTCCTCTTAACTTTTCGTAAAATGCTAGTGTGCAGCACTTTGAGCACACGACTATTTTAGGAATGTCCTTTTTATGGCTCACATTCTTTGTGGGAAACGTCAGCGACTGTGCTGGACAACATAGTCGTAACATTTCTGCTTCGAACGTTTTTTTTTTTTTTTTAACTTAGTTTTAAGTGATATTCTAGTTAAAATATAGGAGTTTCACTTTTTAAATTGAAATGCTGAAATAAACTAAATCTTTGATGATGATATATCTCAGTTGCACATTCACATACGATTGAAACTACCAGGTCTTGTTTAATGTTAGCAAACGTTGCAAGTTGCAGTCTGCGGTTCGAATCGATGTGTATTAAAGCTGCTGGTTGTATGCAGGACATTGTCTGCTGACACAGATGACAATGAGAGACCAAAAAACACCTGGGGGCCTGGCGGCAGGTAAGTCATCCATCTGGTTCTAACAACCAGACCTCCGCCCGCCGCCACATCCTCCGTCAAATTTCCCATCTCTTGTTTTTAGTTTGCAAACCGCTTATCCATGCTGTTTAGTAAGGCTGCACAATATTACGTGGACCTAAATTAAAGCTTAAAACACAATTTTGGGACAACTTGCATCGGCAAAGAGCAATTGGGGTGATGTTTGTACTCGGAAGAGAACAAATAGCATGAAGTTTTTCTGAAGCAGTGCAGCCCTACTGTGTCCAAACAGCAATCATTAAAAGCTTTATGAGGGCATTTTACTTTGTCTTTGATCTCATTGTCATCTCCCTGTCAGCATGATGTCATTAAGACCAATCTTTAAATTGTAAATGAGTGAAGTTACTCACATGCTTTGATACACTCTTGCATTAATAAGTTTGTTCATACTGTATCCAGTATGAGGCCTTGCATTCATTATACTCTATATAGTTAAATCTCTGCAGGCGTACTTCAACATCAACGCCACTACAATGGCAGGCCAACAGAAATATAAATTAATTCCTCACATGCTGATGTAAAGTAGTTAATGAGAAACTAAAGGGTTTGCATGCATGTGTGTGTGTGTGTGAGCTCTGCAGTTTTTTTCTGCTGTGACCCATTTGTCTATATAGTATCTACAATAGTGTCAGAGGAATTATGTGTGCCATTTTTCATTTTCCTGATAGAAGGAAAGTTTTGCACCTACCATCCATGGCCGGTGCCGTGATTTAAGCTTCTTCCATGCAGGGAGGTCCATGCCATGTGTTGGTGTGCGCAGTTTTGTAAAGTAATGGCTTGAACATGTAGGGTAGGCTTAGTGGCTCCCCAGGGTTGAATTTCCACCATTGCTCACACACGCACGCACGCACACACACACACACACAAGCGCATACACGCACTCTTAATGAGGTCAGAATCAAACAGCGGCAGCTCTCCTCACTGCAAATAGTTCCACAGGGTGTAGAAGTAAGTGATTAAATCTAACAGGATTAAAGGAACTGATTATCTAAAATGTAATCTGCAACAAACAGACAAATTAGGAAAGTGTATTTGTCAGTCTTAAGTGTTCGGTTAGACCACTGTTTAAAATCTTAATAAAAAAAAAAGCATGCTGTGAACATGTATGTGTATTAAAAAATACATTTGTATGCAACCATGGGAATTCCAGCCTATTTAAAATGTTTGGATACTCTATATTTTGTCACTGCTTTTACAATCCCCCCCCCCTGCAATCTTTTTCATTTTTATTATAACTTCCTCACCATAAAACTGTTCAGTCATCGCTGCAAATCAGCTCGTTTAAAAGTAGACCTAAAAGGATTAATGTTAATTAAATTTAATTTTACATTTGTGAGATCTATAGATTTGGTTTTGAGGGACAAAGTTATGAGTCATACCTATAAACTTCTTAAATTACTCCTCCCATTTGTGAGCGGATATGAGGCGTTAAACTGTCTAGTTATTTCTGAACTAATGTATCTGCCTGTGAACTCCTGTGAAATTAAAGGAGCTCAAGGGATCATGCATTGCAAATCAACACAGTAAAGCATGGAAATGTTTCTACAACCCTGGCTAATGTGAGCTAATGACTAAAACATGACCTGGTTTCTTATAGATTATTAGCAGTAGAACTTTCCCCCCCCCATCGTTTACACTTTACCGCCAAAGATTAGAGTAAAAAGTACCACTATTAACAACATCACAAAAATACTGATTCTTTTATCCAACTTAAAAGTCTCTTGATTTTTAAAGTAAAAATTATCTAAGCCTTGCTTTGAAAATTGCTCACATACCTAGTGGGCAATGGACTTAATTTCAATGTCAAGACTCCATGTGGAGCTCGTTTAGATATAAGTCAATGTTACTTCTATCTTTGGTCCTGGTTTAGGCCAACTGTAATGTCTGCAAGTATTAGTTACACAGAAAGATAATTATCCAAAAATGTCAAAAAAAGTAAAAAAAATAGTTACAGATTGTGTCCTTTGCAGATAAATGATCTTTATTTTCGCTCATTTGAGGACCAAACATTGTGGTATAATGGTAAATATTGCGGGAGATCTACTATACTGAATATGGTTTTCACAATACAAAAATGTCAAACGCAATGCATTTACTAAGAAAATGCTCAATAGCAATGCAACATTTTTTAAGAGACAATATTCTTGTTAGGAGTAAAAAAAAATACTATTAATCATGGTATGACAGATTAACAGTCACTGGTGTCCATGAAGCTAATGTGTTATCCAGCATTAGCACAACTAGCATGTGAGATTGTTCAACATTTCTAAAGAGGGTTGCATATGTTTTTTGTTTTTTCTTTATGTGCCTGCCTGCTGATCAGGTAATCAGAGGGGAGGGCTGAGTGTAACATTGTAGGCAAATGATTGGGTTTCTTTATATTGATTTCGACGCAAATTTGTGTTTTTTGAAAAATTCTTCTTTAGCACTGATTATATCAAAATATTTTGACAACTTGATCGCTGACAAGTTAAAGCAACACATTTCAATCTAAAATGTTGAAACAATTATGATAACACTAAATACAGACAAATGTTTACCTTGACATCTATGAACCAGTTAGAAATTGTTTTTGAAGCATTTCCTGCATTGTTTTGAGCCACTAAGCCTTAAAAAGTCAGCTTTACAAAGAGGAATCAAAACCGCAAAGCAATTTCTCATCATTAAAACTCTTCACATGACTGATTGTGTGGGCTTGTTTAGGATTTTGCGTTTGAAATGCTTGTTAAAACTGGCTTTGCTTTTATATACATTTTACATGATTTACGTTAGCAGATAAAGTTGTACTGGTTATGCTTCTCTGTTTTTTTCAGGACCCGTCCAAAGGTCCAATTCAACGGCTATGTCGGACATGAGAGCTCCAATGGGCAGGCGTCGTTTGAAAATCCAATGTATGACACCAACATGAAGCCCACAGAGGCTAAGGCGGTTCGATTTGATACCACCCTGAACACAGTCTGCACTGTGGTGTAGCTGGGCAAACCTGTCTCTGCCCATAAGGCGGTTCAGACCACCTTCATGCGGCGGTCTGCAGAGTGGTGTAACCAAAATAGAAAGAAAACAAAACCTAATATCTGGACTTGTCACCATGAGCAGCCTTTGTGTAACATGCTGGTACCCTGCCAGCAAAATCTTCACAATAATGCAGCTCTGCTCCACTTCCTTCCACTCTGACGGCATTTTTCCGCTCTGGTTTCAGGGAGAAAGACAGGAAAGATGGTTGATACTGACAAAAAAAAAAGAAAAAGGCAGTAAATCACGACCTCATCAAATATCACAAAGTCTGATTTCAGGAGATTACTGCTTCAGCTACAGTTGTTTTTCATTTTAATTTTTTTGGCACTATTGCATTTCAAGCATGTATACAGATGGCATAGCTAGTTGAACTGCTGCTAAGGGCATGCTCATCAAGTTTGAAGAAGTCGCCTTTATTTTCTCTTGGGAAAAAGCTCTGCAGTAAGGGTCACATAACTAAATCAATAGCCGTTAATTCCAACATCATCCCACACTCCCATGCCAAGTTTGCACAGTGGCACAGGCTTATGAACTTCCCCGCTGCAGGCCAGATATGGGTTTGACCAACACGAGGTTTTACCCTCAGGGGAAGCACATACACCTAGTCTACCTTTCATACAGATATAAGATGGACCCTGTATAAAACCTTAGATAATATCTGGTGCTGGACCAAAATCATCCCACTGACTTTCCGTCCTTCTGGATTTGACAGAACCGAACTTCCGGACACAACAAACCTTTTACAGTCTCTCTTGTGTTAGAGCCTCTTGTGGGCTCCACAGATTTGCGTACGTTTAAAAACCAAATGCAGTGATATGATTAGATTAAGGGGTTAATTTAGGATTAACCTGGTTGACATTTGGTGAACAACAATCAGGGTTAGACGGGAGTTGAGTTAAGTTTGAAAATGTTTTAGCCTATTTAGAGAGCTGAGCGACAAGCAGGACAATCACAGAGTTAGGTACGTTTAGTGGACAGATATTACAACAATTTGTTTCATGGATTCTTGTAATTTTCATTAATTTATGCCACTTTTATGCCTTTTATAACAGTACCGTAGTACACTGCAGCTAAATAGGTTAAAACATAGCAAATCAAGCCTCTCTAAACTATGTTTTCCAAAGGGTTTGGAAAACCAAGAGTCATCCCAAGCTAGGCGTAGTTTTCAACACGTTCAAATATTACAAGACGATAGTAAACACCAATAAGTCCTGCACAGAATTCAGTTGTTGAAACATAAAACCAGTCGATTGCGTTGTAATGCCTTTGCAGACTATGGACTGGTTTCCAGAAGCTTGTCAAACACAATCAAACATTTGTTTTTCCTGGACTCGCCACAATTCTGCGCTTGGTGGCTTAACAAGTGGAAACCTGGAGGCAATAAGCTGTCAGGATTGTCAACTGCTGCAATCAACTGTGCCCAAATCCAGGAAATGATTTGTTCTCTTGTAACTCTGGTCTGGACTATCAGCCGCAAGATGACTGATTTCTTTTCTACACTGCACTCTCCAGCCACAAAATCCGAAGTAAGATAAACTGATTTGCTGACAGACCGGCTGACTGACAGCAACTGGACAAATGGACGCAGACAAAAAAACAAAAAACAAAAAAAAAAGTGCAGTTAGTCACTGTTGTCAGTCAGACTAACTGTAAAAAGAGACATGGACATGTTAGAGTGAAAACAGAGACATCAAGATGTCTCTATGTGTCTCTTCTGGAATTTTTCTTCAGTGAAGATATCGATGAACAGACTCGTATGTTCAAAAGCCCAGCGGCTCATTGGGACTTCCCAAACTACGGCTGCTGGGGACTCTAAAATATAAAGTTTATATAAATCGCACAAATTTTGCACTAGTGTTGTTATTTTTTTTAGTTTTTTTTGTTCATGTTTTTTTTTTTTTTTGACCCAATTGGGACGAGGGAATGAAGAGAAGATTTGGGAACAGAAATGGGTTTGCTAAAGGAGTCAGTCAAAAAGTAATTTTAATTCAAAAGCTTCTGTCTTTAAAAAGACAACATGACTAAATACAGGGTTACAGTGTGTTTGTATATACACATTTATATTTCTCGCTCCCTGTTAGCGGTTGTTTTTGTTGCCATACATGCTAGCTAATCAGAAGTGTGGGCGTTCCCATGTGAAAGAGACGGGAAACGTTAGTTTATTGCTCTTTCTGAAAGCTTTTACTTGCTTCAGTGTAATTGGTAGACGAAACAAAAGGAGAACATCACATTCATCAAAAACTACTTACAATAACTTGCAAAATGCCTATCCAAAAAAAACAAAAAGTAATTTGCACAGAATAAATTAGCAGCTTTTTTTCCTTGAAAATGAGACGATTTCGAGTATTAGCTTTCAGAAAAGCCCCGCAACCATTTCTCTAACCATCTTTAAAAGGCACATGTTCCCTTCCACCACTGTTATTGTGCATCCTCCCATCACATCGCATATCTGATGCGCACAGTCTTGTTACAACAGCCTTTTCAAAGAGCACAGAGAGTTTGCGATTGGTTTGAGAAGCGGTCAGCAGTCAAACAAGTTCATAAGGAAGGCAACATGCACATTTAGGGTTGTCAGCAATTATATCCCCGTATTATTTAAGAAATACCTCATCAGCAGAAAGTGTGTCAAATCCTTTGTTATGAATGCTGGATCATCGCTGCAGCAAATTTACAAGCTTAAGGACAAACTTATCCTGCCGATTTCCTGGAAATTTAAAAAATGTTGCTCTGACGTCCACAAATCTGTAGGACTCAAGAAAATCCACGAGATTCAAACACTGAGCTTGTTATTTTTCGCAGTGTTTTCTCAAAATGCTATTATTTTTTTTCAAAAGTTGCTGCTCTTGGTTTATGTAACAGATTTAATTGCTTTCACTGTGTCTCCTTTGTTGTGTCCAGGGTCTGTTTCATACCTCACACACACAACATTCTGAGAATATGTTTATACATCCAGCATTTGCGTTAAGCCTTGTGTTTTTTTTGTTTGTTTTTTTTTGTTGTTTTTTTGTATGTTTTCCATGTCTTGTTTTTTGTTTTTTTTCTCATCCGCCACAGCCACAAAACCATTCTCTGAAATTTAATTCATGCGCTAGTAGAATAGGGACATGTAAAGAGAAGAGCTTCCAACAGACAAAATAATGATATCTTCTGAATAATGTGTCGTATTAAAAGTAGATGATTATTCTGAAGAACTCAAATACCCCAAAAGTGCGCATGAGGAGATTGTCAAAACTCTACGGCTTTCACCTCGTTTACTGGGAAACGACTTTGCCCCAGACCTCAGTGCCGCAAACAAAATGCCGTTAAACAATCCTGATTGAGTCTGGATGGACATTGTTTTGTATAAAACAATCGTTGTGATGCAAAGAAAGAAAGAAAAATCGATGAACAGAGCAGCTCTTGAAAAATATTTCAGCAAAAACGGACGACACATTCAGCATCTCCGTATAGGAATAAACAAGACATCTGTAAACAACAGTGGAGCGTCTGCTCACAGTCACGAGCCACATCTCTTCCTCCTATCTTCTTTTCTTTTAATTGCGAGAGAGCTTTCTGTGCTTCTGGTTTTTAATTGATTTGATTAATCCAGTGTAGATTTCCTATGGAGTCAGGAGTGCATAATAGAGCCTGAAAATTACAGACTGGTTTCCAAAACCGTATTAAAAGGTCTAGTTTCATCATTACTGAGCGATATCTGATCTCCTAGTGTGCCTGAAAGAGAGAATTTGGACCGTTTTGTTTGTTCAGGCATGCCACAATGTGACTGAACTGCTGCGGTTCGATCTGACATCCCCCAGGCCCCATGAAAACACGGCATAATGCAGAATGTCATTTTGTGCAGATACCGAGTCTCCTGCACAACTGTCAAGTCTTTGTAAAAATTTCTATAAGCACACTTCAACACACGCTGAGCTCAGAACAGGATTTTCCACCCACTAATGTTTCAATATTTCCCCTGATAAGCAGGTCTGTAGTGACAGATGTCAGGCGCCATTTGACTTCATTTTGGTATAAAAACAGATATCCCTCACAGATATTTCTGTGGAAGGTGGGCCAAGTCGCATCTCAAAAATGTGCTGTAGAAATACAAGCCCATGGCAGGAAATGCTGAATTAGTGACCTATTCTTAGGTAATTGTTATATGTGAGGAACTGTCTGTGTAACATGACAGAGACCACTATCCATTTATGTTATTTATACGGTCTGTAATCATGTCTGTTTTTACGTCTGATCCTGACAGTCGGTGTATTTTTAACCTGCTAGCCTTATCCGAGTGAGAGGGAAATGTCAAGGGCGATGCGAGTGAGACCAGCACAGACGTGAAGAGGTTGTGGAAACCCGTCTGTGGGGATAACGTTAAGAATCGTTTTGATGCATTTCATCTTTACAGAAATTTAGGCTCAAAATTATTATCCAAATGCCTGATGGGCTTAGAGTAAAAGTTATTTTCATTCAATCAAGAAGTTTATTTCTGACTGAAACTAACACTGGTGTTACTGGAAATACAAAAAACAAAGTACAAAAGGTACATTCTGTTATTTTTATATTGCTTGTGGGGAAAAACAAACATTTATACCCTTTTCCATCATTTATGAGAATGCCTTTTTTTTCCATTATATCAGTGGAACCATTGTCACTTCTAATATAACTGTGAATGCTTCCATAGATTTAAGTCAAAACTCTGGCTGGGCCAAGCTGAACTATTAACATTACTTCAGCAGCAGAAGAAACATAAAATTAAGAGGTTACTTGGCGTAAATCGACCTGTAGCATTGGTCATTTTAACCCTCCCACAGTCCTAAATGGCTCGAGTTGACCCAGTGTGAGCTTGTTACCCTGCATGTTGTTCCGGGCGGACTGACCCCACGTGTGCTTTTACAAGTTTTAATTGTTTTATCAGTTTTGGGAACTGATAAAAGTGTCGAACTAGGACTGTGGGAGGGTTAAGTCTTATTGTATGTAAGTCAAAAAGTCATCTGCCTACAGATTTAGCTGGTAAAACTGATTTAGACCCTGGAAAGATTTATGTTTTCCACAATTTTGAGGCAATTTTTACTGTTTATATAAATCACCTAATATATACTCAAATGTTTAAAATACAGAATCAGTTTTAATTGTTGAAGTGAATAAAACTTTAATCTTCCAAAATATGGTTACGAATGCAACATGGAGTTGACGGTTCTGACGCCATATGGACTAAGATATCATACAGTGCCTTGGCAAAATATTCACACACCTTATTTTTTGTCACATTACAACCACAAATACCAACTTATTTAATTTGGTTTTAATTTGGTAGAGTACAAAGTGGAGCATACAGCAATTATGAAGTGGAAGAAAACTGATGGAACATTTAAACATTTATACAAAGTCTGCATATGCATTCAGTTCCTCTGAGATGGAAAAAGAAAAACACATGTTCCTGCAATTACAGTCTTTTAAGGTACATTTCTTTCAGCTCTCCACGTTCAGGCAGATTTTGGCCCATTCTCCTTTGCAGAGCAGCTCAGGCTCTCTGAAAAAGGATGGAGAGAATCCTTGAACCGTGATCCTCAAGTCTTACCACAGATTCTCAATGGGATTCAGGTCTGCACTTTCAGTTTACCATTTTAACACATGAATATGGTTTGATCTGACCGTTTGATCTAATCATTATGGCTCTGACTGTATATTCAGAGCCACTGACCTGCTGGAAAATGAACCTCGCCCCCATTCTGAAATCCAACAGGTTTTTGTTCAGAAATGCCTGTTTTTAGCTCCATACAGCTTCCTGTGAACTCTGACCAGCTTTCTGCCCCGTTCAGGGTCATTTCTACTGCTACAAAATGTAACATTTATTATCTTTTTTTAATATTTAATTATGTATTAATTATGTAATTAAAATATGTCCATGTTTTCTGAGTTCCTTGCATTGCTAGTGTAAAGTATTACCTATTACCTTCAAATAGTTTTTGCAAGATAAACTATTCCACCGCCTTTTTTTTTTTTGCATTTGTTCACTAATGTTATTTTAACATTAGTGAACAAATAAAGGCCTTCATGGAGCAGCTTTTTCAATTAACTTTTCATAGAGTTTGCCTCTGAAAGCGAAGGGTTGTGCTGAATTCTAGGGAGTCCCATTAAAGCGGACAGAATACATGTGCATGCCATTCCTTTCAGATACATTTGTAAAAGATGATGAAAACCACATCATTTCCCTTCCACTTTGTAGCTGCGCACTGCTTTGATTTTGAAATTTGTTTTTCTTTTTGCAAAAAAGACAAAATGTGAAATGAATTTAAGGGTTTAAAATACAAGGCACTCGCACTTGTAGGAACTGTGGTTCTGTTTGCATAATTTCATCCCCAACATTTTGAGTTGGACAATGTTACTATGGAAACTAAACCGTCTTATTTCACGATTGAGAATCTATCTGCGGTCCCGTTTTCTTCATTAGAAACACGAATATCTATCAGTTGAGCACATGACTGCTTTTCAATGGAGATACAAAACGAAATGATTTAGTTAAACTGAAGAGATGTGTTCTCATTAACTCATTAACATGCAGGAAGTGGCTGGTGCTTTTAAAGATATGCTGAAATATATAACCTATATTTTTGTTTTATTATTTTGACGTCCCCTGTGGCAGAGATGAGTTGAGAAGTGGTGCGTCTTTAACCAACAGTCGCCGTCATCTAAAATGTTTGTTTCTAGCTTTGTGATGCCTCCATTTTCACCGCTGTCATCTCTCACCACCATTATCATGTGCTGCTGAACTTGAAGTAGGTGCAAAAGAAGAAAAAAAAACAAAACAAAAAAAAAACATTTTTGTACAAAAATCTATTTTTTATGAAGAGATTTGTAAAAAAGAAAAAAATAATATCAAAACAAATTATTAAACATGCTGTAATTTTTATGAACAACAATGTAGGTTCAAATAAAATCTTGTTCATTGCAATCAATGTTTTTACTGTTATACACCATGTAAAGATCTATGGTTGAGACTGAGTATCAAATATCAGATATGATCTTATTTGCCCGTCATGGCTGCTTTTACACAGGAACACACAAGCTTGAGAGCCGAAGCTAAATTACACTTTTCTCCAGGTAATAAATGTGAAAGAAAATGTGGAGTCTAAAACAGTTTCTGCAGCAAGGTGGGATTAATTTCATGTTTCATTTAAAAAAAAACAACAAAAAAAACATTAAAGCTTTTATGATATAGTTTGAAATTTCTGATTCTTTGTGCTCACTGATGCTTGAGTCATCATTTTTAAAATCTTTGAGATATTAACAGTACATGTGTGGTACGTCAAATGGGTTGAAAATCATTCCAACTTTAAAACGCATTGTTCCTGTGTAACAGCAGCTCTATATGGCTACTCCTCATACTTGTATCTTAGAGAGAATGGCTTTTAGAGGCAAAAATTAAAAACAAAATAATTTGGATGAATTTTTTATTTTTATTTTTTTTTTACATTTCAAATTTGTTTAAATTTAAAAAAGAGCAAACTCTCTTTTAGCTTAATGGATCTGTTTGGGTCATTGAGCTGTGATAAAAATTTTGATGTAGCATCATGAATATTTGGCAGCAAATTTGAAGGTATAAAACTACAGAGGTACTTTAGCGAATGACCCAGTCCTCCTCCTCCAACGTGATCATGAGGGAAACACGCAGTGGAGTGTTACCAAGACTTGCATAACAGTTTGTGCATTCAGCCTCACAGCCTGCAAGACTCACCGTTTATCTATCAGATATTTTGGAGATATTATTTGAGAATAAAGTTTTTTATACCATAAAACCCAAGTTGTCTTTTGTAGTTTTCTTTGTCCTATTGTTCGATGAGTCTAGTTTGTTGATGACGAATGTTATTGCATTAGTTGAGCCAGGCTGGCGCATCCATACTGCTTACAAGTCGAGCTGCTAAATGCTACAAAAACGTAAAATCAATGAACCAGTGCTAAATATGCTTAATCTTATTCTACGTTATGCAAATCCTTTGTCTGCACAGATTCACTCATAATCGATTGGACTTGTTGAGATGGCAAAAGAGTCGGCCATATTTTCAGTAATTTATAGTCCTTACAGCGATCTTTAGACATTCAGTCTAAGATGGTCAGGTGATCATTAAAATGTGGAGAAGAACAATTAGACACTGTCATGGTAACATTAACACAAAATAGGCTTTTCACATTCAATCTCAGTACACAAAACAGGTGTATGATAAATGGTGGTGACTTCATTTATCACCACTATAATATTTATTTTTTTAGCTGAAGTAAAACATGTTTGATACGCCAACAGGTGACAATGAGAAGCATCAGGTCACAAGTTGATGTGCTACTGGGAAGGTTTTCATCCCTTTCTTGATCTAATTAGGTTTATTTTAAATGAGCTGAATTCAGATGCTGTTGCTGTACACGTTCGGTGTTTTCATTCTCTAACTGGATTACTAATGAGATAAAGGTTAATCAATATATTGATCAAGGCGCTGCCCCCTGGAAGACCAGTTAAATTAACCATGTTCACAGCACTGATGTTAAGTCATGAACAGGCTGGCGATTACTGCTTACAGCTGCTTCTGGTATGATCATAGAAGATGTGCGCAATGCATGAAAACTACACGCTACAAAATTGTGAAACTTTTTGTACCTTGCTGGTCTTTTTATTTGGGGGCAAAATAAAAAGCTGTCATCAGTGTTACTTTATTATGTGACAAGGGGAAAAGAAATGTGTGGGATCGACTTTACTCGGAACAACTTGTTTAATTCAGGGGGATTACTTGTTTGCATTGGAGCCGCTAGTTTTTGAGCAGTGTGTGCCCAACCGCAACTGACTGAAGGGTATGATCACAGCGAATAAATTCTCAGATTAAAATAAAACAAAAGGAGATCAGATTTGTTTGTAAACAGCTGATGCTGCAGCTCCCAGTCAATAAAGAGAATCTCATTTTTGGAATCAATTTTACTCTTTTGCTTTCTGTATGTTTTATGGCGGTATGCACTATAAGTTTCATCTTTACAAAAATGTGCAACCAACAAATTCTACCCAAGAAATTATTATCCACAAAAGCCTGCATAAAAGCTACTGAACAAGATAATGGCTTTTAGCTGTAACTGGCCAACATCATAAAATACAAAGTCACAAACTAAACTACTGGGAAAGTCCTGAGTAAACACCAAACACAAATACTCAACAGGATTTAAAGCTGGGAAAATTCATTTTAAAAAGCTACTTGAAACAAACTCATAGATACAAATAAGACGAATGCTATAAGTTAAGTTTTTGGGGGGTGTTTGTAAACTTACCCACAGAAATCTGTTTCTCCATTTCTAGCATGGAATCTCAAAAAAAAAAAAGAAAAGAAAAACTATTACAGAACCATACAGTCTTTTTTATTTTTTATTTTTATTTTTTATACTAAGTCCCTAACTTTGTTTCTGACACCTAAAAAAATATTTCTCAAAGAAAACTGAAAGGCATAAATTACTATTATTTTAAAGCTGGAAACGTGAACCATGAAGCAATATTTTCACTGCCGTATCCGACATAAAAAGGAGAAAAGAAAAGTGAAAATCTGTCAACTAGCACGCTATAAAACTATAATAGGATTTTATTTCATTCTTGACCCAACAATCCTTCTCGGGTTGATAAAATGTTAGCATGAGAAGAGTACTGACACAGCATAAAATGTCCAAACACAAACATTATTTTGATCCCTGCCACCCCCCAAAATTAATAAACGAATAAACTTTTTCGTAAGAGGATCTCTGGCTCTGATTTGCAGACTTTGTAAGGCAGTGAGTTGACTTTGCATTTTATTTTGTATGCTCCCCAATTCAGTGTTTGGCTTTGTTTAAAAAGAAATAAAACCTACCTGTATTTTCAACACTGGCATTTCAATCCTGACTGATGCACAAGCTCCGTCTTTAGTCACAGAAATTCTTATTTGTTAATGTATCCCATAACCAGATTACCAAAGAAATCCTAAACCATTTCATCAGGCAAATCTGGTTAAAATATGTTTGAAATGTTTTGTGTTATTAATCTAAAATTATAGAGACGTTAAACTAGATACAACAATCATCCCAAAACAGAGCCTCTTGGAGCTTCACATCAATTTTAGAAATAAAAATAGGTAATTGTCATAAACCATCATTTAGAAGAAGTCATCAGAATAATTACCAGCAGCTATTAATATCATATGAAGCATTAGGGATAGATCATTCTCAGCGTAATAATGATTTACTGTTTTCCACTTAATTAAATTAAATTAAAGAACTGTATTGGCAGAACTTGTAGAGAAAACCAAAGAACACAAAAATGACAAAACCCAAACAATCCCAGATCCTAACAATGTCAAAACAAAAAATAAATAAAATATATAGATATGCATATATATGTGCTGCAGTGCATAGAAGTGTACATGCACTGACTAAGACATCAACACATGCTATTGCAAAACATATAATCTTCATAAATCTAAGCTTTTTTATTTAATCAGAGGGATAAATTCAGAAACTTGCACGTCTTCCTTTACTGCCACGTTTTACTTAATGCTATTGTCATTCCTGTCTATTTTGCATACATAATACAAGATTCCTGCCTTTGAAATGCTGATTGGAGAGGCTCTGCAATTACATCAGTGCATCTGCCTGAATTTATGGGTCACACTGCAGCTTTATCACGGCTTCATGTTGAAAATACACGACTGGGTAGTTCAATTGGTTTTTCTATCACACTGTGAAATGCAGTGAGAGCAGTAGAACACTTGTTCCTTTTTTTTTGTCAATTTAGGAGATTACTTTTGTGAAAAATGTATTTTTACCATGTCAGCAGGTGATTTCTTATCTAATGCTCATCAAAAACTAATGATTGTTGAGCTCCACAGGAGCCCAAATCTCTAATCTTTACTTTCAAGCAGTAGTTCAAAGGTTCCAGCGAGAAAGAAAGTAATAAATAGACAAGGATGTATGAATTGTCTTTCAGAACTGAATGCACCCTCCAATACCTGTTACAGAGCCTGCAATGACAACATAATGTCTGAGAAAACAATAGTGAAATTAACAATTTTAATAGAATCTGGGACCAGAGGAATGTGTTTGTAGTTTTTTTTTTTTTTTTTTTTTTTTTTTTTTATTTTTTTTTTTTTTTTTTTTTTTTTTCTGGGATTTTTTTTTTTTGGGGGGGTT